TGAAAACATAACCATAACCTATTTCCCTTATTGCTAACCAATTTCATATGAACACAAGCATCGAGGTCAAATGAGGTACTAGGATTTAAAGGATGAAGTCCTTTAACAAGCTCTCCTAATCCCATCCCATAAGCTAAAGTGGCAATCAAGCCACCAAAAACAAATTTTCCGCTCGTTGCTCTCGCTGCACGACACATATGATGAATCATAAAAGCTCATGTGTCAACCTTATGTCCCTCAACCATAGCACATAAAAAGTAGAGTTCTCTCTGACACATGATTCCATCACTCTCGCCTCGACCGAAAATGGTAAAAGACACATGATTCCATCACTCTCGCCTCGACCGAAAATGGTAAAAGCCATGAACCTCTGTAAATATCTAAAGCATGGGTTATAAACAACTCTCGCCTCGACCGAAAATGGTAAAAGCCATGAACCTCTGTAAATATCTAAAGCATGGGTTATAAACTGCAGAGGCTCGTGACAAGGAGGGATCATAAGGTCTTTGAGTGGTAGAGCGTGCGATGGAAGTCCAAAAGGGGGTCAAGTTAAAAAATTTAGGAACAATTCTAGCACCACCCTCCGGAAAACCAAATATCTCATTTAAATGAGCTAATGTAATTGTGTGAGACCGGTTAAAAAGCCTAAAAGTAATTTTTCCTTCCTTTACTCCCTCACCATTAAATAAAACAGCATCAAGAGAACTAAAAAATTCGATAGTAATACGCTCGTACGTGGGATGTTTAGCCTTAATAATTTAACCAACCAACCCATCCCAGGAGGTATGAAACATCTACCCACAGCCCTAACTCACGCAAACAATTTTCATCCAAATAACGGGTACTCAGAATTCCCCGCTTAACCAATGTATTATATCTAGATTGTTGCTGTGCATTGACAAATTCTATACCATGAGGATTTTGGGGAGGAGGAGAGTTACCTTTGCGAGATTGTTGCTGTGCATTGACAAATTCTATACCATGAGGATTTTGGGGAGGAGGAGAGTTACCTTTGCGCCGTCGTGCTGTAGAAGTTGAGGCTCCCTGGTTAATCCGTCCGCGCTTAGGTCCTATGTAGTCTTCCGAACGAGAGTTGGTAGCAGGTCGGAATAACTGTTGAAGTTGACGCGAAGGCTGGCTATTGTCCGGCGGAATCGAATCAGGAGTGAGGCGATGTGGAGATCTGACCGGAGATCGAAAGAGATGGCTGTGGTGATTTTGAAACAGGGGTTAGGGCGTTGGTCGTTGGTTGAAGGAGAGATGGGTGGTGTTGCATGGTGGTTTGGAGGTCTGAGATGGTGAGGAGTTCGGTGGTGAGCGTTGGGGAGATGAGCAGCGGTTGTTTTGAGGGTTGATGGATGGGGGCAGTGATTTCAGAACTGGGTCGGAGGTAAATCGAGAGGTGAGGAACGGCGGCTTTTGGGTTGGTGGTCGAAGAGGTCGGCTTGGAGAGGGGAAGCTGGTCACCATGATGAAGGAGGAGAGGGGGTTAGGGTGGCGACGGTTCTGC